TCTTGCAAGCTGCTAGTTTACGTGAAAAGGAAGTTTACATGCATGAATGTTTGCATGCAAGGATGTTTACATCACCAGTAAAATTCAGATTTTTTTAGTGTGCATATTGAGTGCCACATTGGCCACGTCCGGGCATGTTCCGGACATGTTTTAGATACCTCCGGGGAAGTGGTCAGTTTCTGACTTGACTTGACTTTCTGACCTCAAATCACACGAGAATTGAAAAACATATTTCAATAGTAGCCACGGAAAAATCTGGACCCGAAAATCTGATTGGGATTTTAAAATGCGATTTAGTAGTTATAGTTCAATGTAACAGCTATACATTAGTAGGTATTATGCTTATTGTAAGACAATTGTTTCAGTTTTCTTTCTTACCATAGGCCATTGCTCAAACTTTTCTTCGTACACGGCCCATCTTCTTTTACACGAGCCTTGTTCCCACTTGTTTGGCTGCCAAATTCCATTTCCGCTTGAAATCCTTCAGGTCAATTGCAGCTCCACCCTTTTTCTTAAGAATCTGTATAGTACAGTATTCTTCGATTGGCCTTAGTTCCGGAGTATTGGCCCGATTCATCTCCTTGGGAACCACTGTGAGGCCATTTTCGCTGTACCACTGTATGGTGGAATTTGAGAAGTGGCAGCTTGCCAAGTCCGGCTAGAATAGGCATACACCACGTGCTGCTCCAGAAAAGACAGTAGTCTGTTCCGTAGGATCTTCTCCTGGTAAATTTACTGGTTCATGGTTCCAGAAGTAACGAAAGTTTCGCTTGCCAGACAAGGAACTTTTTGGGGAATTTCGACTTTTTTTTATTTAACATTCTTCCGGGCACTCTTCCGGTCAACCGGGGTATAAAACTCCGGCACAGGAATTTGATCAAAAACTGCCAGGAGTGGATAGACAGGGATTTTCGTTTCGAGCGTGCAGGATCGCATTGCGAAGTGTTTGCTCCGGTGAAGCCATGATGTAAACAAATGAGCTTATCCTGACAACCAATGCCTACCATGATTCTATGCACTCATAGCTTCTTTCAGTGAAAATTTTATTCAAAAAATGCCTAAATGGCAGTGTTTGTAATGTGTCGGGATTTTTTCGTGTTCAACCTTGAATACGTAAATATGCACTTCATGCTGATTTTTGAAAGTAGTTTTAAGTGAGCGAAAAAAAAAACCTTTAATCATTTCAAACTTTCGAGTCGACGCGACTTAATATTTGAAAGCAAAATGGTAATGCTCTCAACTAAAATCTGTGATAGTGGCGCTGGTGGTGTAGTGGTAAGCGTGATTACCTCTCACCCCAGCAGGCCTGGGTTCAATCCCAGTCGGCACCGCCGGGATGTTCTGAGGCATAACATCTCTGATCAAGCCTTCCTTCGAAAGGACGTACAGCCGTTGGTCCAGGTGTGGGAGCTGCCTCCCTGGCGTCGGTAGAATTGGTGCTCAGCACGGAAAACAAATCAAGGAAAAAATCTTTGGACGTACTCAAAGGACACCAAATTCAGAATGGACGTGCAAGTCCACAAAAAGATAGTTAGCTCAGCTTTATTTTAGAGACTTTCACATTCAAAAAGAACGCTTCCATCCAGAATCATATTCGCGTGATGCCACCCTATTTCAAATCTTCCTTCTCTTTTGCTTCCGTTTACGATACAACATACTTTTTTGGAGTGTATGTACTTGGATCAGCAAGCGGTCTTAACCACCAAGATTCGAGTATGGCTGGTTAGTCTCTGGGAAAGTCAGCTAGCATCAGACCGACATCAGAAAGTACCACAACCAACAGCACTTCGAGATGATATCAATCACTCACTCGGGACTGACAGCCAGACACGATCGTAGAAAGGGGACTCATGGGGAGGTGTGTCGATGGTCGATGGAGAGAGGAAAAACACGGCTATGGATCGTGCCCTGGTTTCTTTTAATTTTTCATCAGATCCAGCAGCAGCAGACATCAGGCAGTCGGAAAATTGATGAGCGGAAGGAAGCTACTACTACTGACGGTGCAGTACACGAACGCTCCGACTGCTGCTGAAGAACGATACAACTGGGGCGAAATAGATCAATCTTGATTTCTGGTGCTTTCCGGACGAGGCTGATTCGTGCCAGTGATATGCAATCGAAATTTTATGAAATTTTTTTTTCATCAAAAAAGTACTACCTATGCTCCACGACAACCCTACTCGAACATCTCATACTCGTTCCATTCCTTCTACCCGGTTCCGATTTTTAAGAATCATTTACCGAGCTCTTCACCCTCCTTATGAGCGAATCCACATTTCTGACAGCTTTCCGATATTTTTAGTTCCATAACTGTCGGTCCCGCCGGTCCTGCTCGAGTTGCATGGCATGGTTTATTATTTCGGCCGGAGATTTATTATAACACACAAACAAATAGCGTGAGCAAAATACCTTCAATGCTCGTCGTCGTCATCGTCGTCGTTTTCTCCAACTGAAATGAAAATTGGCGGTGGATTGGTATGAAAACCCAAATCTTGATTGAAAACTAGGGCAAAGGTATCACGGTTGGATGCTGCCGTTGCTGTTGATGATGATGATGATGATGATGATGATGCTGAAGTATACGATGAAAAAGCCCCAGTTTTCCCAGGTTTACCTCGTTTGCTGTACTGCAATGGGTATCCTTCACACAAAGACCTCCATCTCTGTCGTGGAAGGCGGGACGGAAAATCATTGCTTTTTTCATTCGCTTCCCATCGTTGACGACCGGGAGAGGCCGTTGTTCGTGGTTCTTGTTGTTGTTGCTGCTCGAGTACGGCTCAACCCCTCCCAATGAAGCGGGTATAATTTATTGGAGGGAAAATTGGAAAAGCTTTGACGTCCCGACATGCGACATTATCTCTTCCTCTTGATCTCGTGCCGTAGTTTAATTTTCCCGGAGAGGCTGGCTGCCTGACGGGTACTTGGTGCTCGATTCTAGTGGTTGGTGAAGAACAAATTTGAAACAGGTTGATGGATTGAATGATGGATGTTTTTGCAGGAACATAGCAGGTCAATTACTAAAATTGTTCGATTGCACTGTGAAAACCCATATTGATCCACCGGGCAGGTGAATAGAACCTGATAATCTCATTTTTGATATTATCCGTATATAGACGAGGCCTTAATGGATATTTTTTATTTTTATTGGTCTCAGTTTCTGCACTGCTCAATTGAACAGCAATTGCTAGTTTTAATTGGAATCCAAATCATAATGCAACAATCAATTGATTTATGTCTTCACGTTTATTTCCTAACATGACATTAAATTTAAGAAATAATTGTGGATCTATGTTGAGCTGATATGAGTTTTACGTAGTGCGAAGTGTATATAAATTACTGTCTTCTTCTTGGCTTACAACTGGAGCTTTATTACTTTATACTTAATCTGTTTTTTGGGCTCTACATACTTTAAGCACAGTTATTATAAGTTTAATAATCAATCAGCTAAATTTTCCGTATTATCATTAGACAAAACACACGAAAATCAAGAAAAAAAATTTCGGTGTATCATTAAGATCATAGAATGTACCAATTTCTACTGTTTATCGTTTTCTGGCAACAGTTCGGAAGAGGGGAAGAAACAGGATTTCGATCGCTAACCCGACGTTGAAAAGGATAGGAATAGTTTGTCAAAATAAATCAAGAGCTCCAGAATACACCGATCAACAAATTTCGAACGTGAAAACCCAAGAAATTACTCAGGAAAATGTCTCGTTTTTGATGATGAAAGTTACTTTCCTCTCTCAAAATCTCACATTCCTGGAAATGATCGATATTATTCAGATAATAGTTGTACAACATCTCCAAATGTAATATTCAAGTTAAAAAACAAGTTTGAACAGAATGTGATGCTGTATATCGCCATATCGGAGCGAGGAATTTCTAAGCCATGGTTAGAGCCTATGGGTTTGGTTATCAACAAAGAAGCTTACTTATACTTTCCAAGCTGAATAAATTTTTAAACCCTTTTTTCCATGATATGTTATCCATCGATCTTGTTTTCCGTGCTGAGCACCAATGCTACTGACGCCAGAGAGGCAGCTCTCACACCTGGCTATCGACCCATCAACTCATGAACCGGGGACCAACGGCTTTACTTCCTTTCCGAAGGAAGGCGTGATCAGAGATGTTATGCCTCGGAAAATCCCGGCAGCGCCGACTGGGATTGAACCCAGACCTGCTGGGGTGAGAGGTAATCACGCTTACCACTACACCACCGGCACCGCTGGATTATTTTTTTTTAACTTTTAAAATTGTTTTCTCTACAGGGCTCTGATTTTTTTATGTTTGGCGTTTTAATCAAAGTTATGATCGAAATCATCATCAATATTAAACCACTAAAATTAAAAAAAAAGAACTAAAAGTTTGCAAAAGCTCAGAAATTTGATTTTTTTTTTCAAAACCAGGATCTTTAAATTGTTTGAAGCTATCATTTTGCATACGCTAAGTCGAGGGGGGCAACACATCTAAATATCAATTCTCGATGCTCAAAAAATCTCGCACTAGTGAATCAAACCTTGAAAAATCTTTTTTCATTTCTCGCATCTACTTGCATCTATTTGCATCGCGCATCATCTTTTGGCAGAAAATCTTCAGAATCATCATCAATCTTCTTTCTATCTACTCAACATGCGCGGAGCTAACCACAGTAAAACACACAATTTCCTGCATTGTAGATAGAGACGTCCCTCTAGCCGCACCGGTGGTGTAGCAGTAGCGTGATTAGTTCTCATTCCAGCAGGCCTTGGTTCAATCCCAGTCGGCGCCGCCGGGATGTTCTGAGGCATAGCATCTCTGATCACGCCTTCCTTCGGAAGGGAAGTAAAGCCGTTGGTCTCCGGTGCATGACTTGATGGGTCGATAGGTAAGGTCCAGGTGTGGGAGCTGCCTCCCTGGCGTCGGTAGCATTGGTGCTCAGCACGGAAAACAAGATCGACGGAAAACAAGTCAAGGGAAAAAAATAGAGTCGTCCCCATCGCGCTAAGTAATAAATATTCTATTCAAATTTTCTTAAGAGTTGGAGCCGGATTCGAAGCTGGATTCGGAGCCGGACTCAGAGCTGGATTCGGAGCTGGATTCAGAGCCAGATTCGGAGTAGAATTCAGAGTCGGATTTGGAGTTGGATTTGGAGTTGGATTCGAAGCCGAATTCGGAGCCGGATCCGGAGCTGGATTCAGATTCAGAGAATTCGGAGCCGGATTCGGAGCTGGATTCAGAGCCGGATTCGGAGCCGGATTCGAAGCCGGATTCGAAGCCGGATTCAGAGCCGGATTCTGAGCCGGATTCTGAGCCGGATTCTGAGCCGGATTCGAAGCTGGATTCGGAGCCGGATTCGAAGCCGGATTCGGAGCCGGATTCGGAGCCGGATTTGGAGCCGGATTCGGAGCCGGATTTGGAGCCGGATTCGGAGCCGGATTCGGAGCCGGATTCGGAGCCGGATTCGGAGCCGGATTCGGAGCCGGATTCGGAGCCGGATTCGGAGCCGGATTCGGAACCGGATTCGGAGCCGGATTCGGAACCGGATTCGGAGCCGGATTCAGAGCCAGATTCGGAGCCGGATTCGGAGCCGGTAGCATTGGTGCTCAGCACGGAAAACAAGATCGACGGAAAACAAGTCAAGGAAAAAAATAAATAGAGTTGTCCGCCTCGCGCTAAGTAATAAATATTCTATTCAAATTTTCTTTAGAGTTGGAGCCGGATTCGAAGCTGGATTCGGAGCTGGATTCGAAGCACGATTTGGAGCTGGATTTGGAGCCGGATTCAGAGCCGAATTCGGAGCCGGATTCTGAGCCGGATTCTGAGCCGGATTCTGAGCCGGATTCTGAGCCGGATTCTGAGCCGGATTCTGAGCCGGATTCTGAGCCGGATTCTGAGCCGGATTCTGAGCCGGATTCTGAGCCGGATTCTGAGCCGGATTCTGAGCCGGATTCTGAGCCGGATTCTGAGCCGGATTCTGAGCCAGATTCGGAGCCGGATTCGGAGCCGGATTCGGAGCCGGATTCGGAGCCGGATTCGGAGCCGGATTCGGAGCCGGATTCAGAGCCGGATTCGGAGCCGGATTTGGAGCCGGATTCGGAGCCGGATTCGGAGCCAGATTCGGAGCCGGATTTGGAGCCGGATTCGGAGCCGGATTCGGAGCCGGATTCGGAGCCGGATTCGGAGCCGGATTCGGAGCCGGATTCGGAGCCGGATTCGGAGCCGGATTCGGAGCCGGATTCGGAGCCGGATTCGGAGCCGGATTCGGAGCCGGATTCGGAGCCGGATTCGGAGCCGGATTCGGAGCCGGATTCGGAGCCGGATTCGGAGCCGGATTCGGAGCCAGATTCGGAGCCGGATTCGGAGCCGGATTCGGAGCCGGATTCGGAGCCGGATTCGGAGCTGGATTCGGAGCCGGATTCGGAGCCGGATTCGGAGCCGGACTCGGAGCCGGATTCGGAGCTAGATTCGGAGCTGGATTCGGAGCTGGATTCGGAGCCGGATTTTGAGCCGGATTTTGAGCCGGATTCGGAGCCGGATTCGCAGCCGGATTCGGAGCCGGATTTAGAGCCGGATTTAGAGCCGGAGTCGGAGCCAGATTTGGAGCCGGATTCGGACTCAGATTTGGAGCCGGAGTCAGAGTCAGTTAATTTATTTTCTGGATTCTGGAAATTTTCGGATGGTTTTTTTTTATTTTTCTTTGCAACTAAGCAGTTCCATGCCAAAAGACGCATGGAAAAACTCGACCTTCTCCAATTTTCAAACGTGACAAAATTATGGAAGGCAAATTCACGTTTATTATGCCATTCTAAAATTCTGCCATTTCGGATCTTGTAAAATTTTCAAAACGGCGTTTTTGAAATAAAAAAAAAGTAGGATGGAAACAGCACTTTTGATAGAAATTATGTACAGAAAATCAATGTTTCGCTGGTAAAAATATTAAGAAAAGCTAAATATCCCATATTTTTTTGTGGATTTTCTAATTTTATTTTTTTAATGCTCATGAATAATGTAATCTTTTAGAGTGTTTTTATGAGCACTAAAAATGGTCAAAAACTGTAGAACAACGACTTTTGGATAAATATTTTAACTTTTGTTAAAGGGTGTAATTTATACTCAGAAAACAATGTTTGAGATATTTTAAATCATTGTCTGTATAATAAAAATCACATATTAGTATACTAACAAAAAGTTTACAAATTTAATTAAAATTGGTCTACTATTTTTGCCAGTTTTCAAGTATCTACAGTTTTGAACGTTCTAAAAGATTGCATTTTTTCAAAAGATTTTTTAATGAAAACAATTTTTCTCAAATTGGGATAAGACATTTTAAAATATTTGGCTTCTTTATATTTTTATTTAAAATAATTTGAAATATATTAAGTTAATTTTTCCCAGAAAGGCATTTTTATCTCCACAGCTTTATCTCAGATTCCATTTCGATCAGAAATGCCACTTCAATGCTAACATTTGTTTTTTTTTTCAAATTTCATGCTACCATTTGTTTTTTCTTTCAAATTTCATGAATGCCATTTTGGAAATTTTACAAGATCAAAATTTAAGCAAAATGTGAATCATTACCATCAACAAACAATTACGAAAAGTTTCATATAAATCCACCTTCTTCTTATTCGCACTGATTTTGTCCACAAACTGAGCAAATTGCATGACTTAAGAGTTTGGTCATTGTTTCCAGCAGGGCTGGAAAGCACCTCAGAACGTTAGCAAAGCAACTTTGTGCATGGATCTCACAACACTCGACAAATAGTGTGTGGTTCTCTCATTTACTTCGCACACTCTTTTCCACCTAATCTGTGAGAAAGCGATCCATACCAAGAGCGGTACACTCTGTGCGGCGCAGGGAGCGAATATAATACAACAAGCGCTAATGTCTTCTTTGAATTCTTTGCAGACTTTGCTTACCACGACTGCATGCATAGGAGATGAAGAAGGGCACAACGAAGAAGAATGTTGTCTTTTTGCTGGGTTTCCAATTTGCAACCCTACACTGAGTGGCGTTCTTTACGTCGGAGCCGTCGGAGCGATGGCTACACATTGAGCTTTCGTTATTTCTGGGCGTTTGTCTGTCTTCGCTGCTTTACACTTGTGCAGGGTGAAAGACAAGCAAACTGTGTGTTTGCTTGATTCTCACTTTGTTTATTTCAGAAAATCAGCACATTGCGCGCATTGAGTGAGAAGATGACAGCCCTGGTTTTCAGGATTCTTTTTCAAATTGTAGTGATGCCTCGTAGCTTCGACTAGCTCGACTGTCTGGTAGCAAGTGATGGCGGAAGTGATTTGGCAGACGTGGTGTACATATGTAGATTTCCGTTACTCTTCCTGTCCCTCTGTAACTGATGGTGGAAGTGAAATGGCAGACCCTTTTTTGGACAAACATTTGCTCTGCTCATACTCTTCCTTTATTCTGAAGTTGTCACCGAGCTCCGATCAGATCGATCGTCTTGGCTGATACGCTATGCCAGACAAATTTTCGCATGAGCTAGAAAGTGATATCCATGCCAAAGAATATAGATTTTCTCTTCCGTTCGCTCTTCTGATAAGTTAGAGAAATGTACCTATTTTGTTTGTTCAAATTCTTAATAGTTTAATTTTTTTTTTACTATTTTTACTATGCACCAAAAAATCACTTGATAAATTTTCCAACGAATGACATATTTCTCATAAATGGTATTGAGATATATGCATTTGGACACTTCCACATTTTCATTACATTCCTTATTTTCAATTTCGTAATGTAAAGTAAAAGAAAGACGTAGGTGAAATGGCTCTAATGTTGGCCATTGGATCTAAGATTGGGCCCATCTAAAAATCTGCTATTTATCAATTTATCTAGATGAACGCGTCATTGGGACGGTATTAATGGATATTTTTAGGCGCTATTGAAAATTTAGTGGATTGCTGATGTATGGGCCCAAATTAGGGGCCGACATTTCATCCATTTCCCCCTAGTTAAACAAAATATTTGTGTGAATTAATAAACGTTGTATTTCGAGATTAAATAAAGGGTGATACGGTCAAAATTTGGTCAAGGGAAAACGCGTGTAAATCGGTGAAATCGTTTATTTAAAAAATCAAATTAAATTTCTTTTTCAAGTTCAATTAGTATAAAATTCAGGAAAAATATTCAGTTAGGCTTCCGCTTTTCCAAATCCGAATTGCCGGGCCTTACACTTGACCCCTGCCATCAGATTTTGTACAGCCACCTTGTCCACCTTCTTCGCTGCAGAAAGCCAGTTTGCCTTGAACTGCTGCTCGCCCTTAGCAGTTTTTTTGGTCTTCTTTAGGTTCCGCTTGACAATAGCCCAGTATTTCTCAATTGGGCGGAGCTCTGGCGTGTTGGAAGGGTTCTTGTCCTTGGGAACCACCTGCACGTTGTTGGCGGCGTACCACTCCATGGCCTTTTTAACGTAATGGCAAGATGCCAAATCCGGCCAAAACAGTACGGAACAACCGTGTTTCTTCAGGAAAGGCAGCAGACGTTTATTCAAACACTCTTTCACGTAAATTTCTTGGTTGACAGTCCCGGAAGCTATGAAAATGCTGCTTTTCAAACCACAGGTACAGATGGCTTGCCAAACCAGATATTTCTTTGCGAACTTTGACAGTTTCATGTGCTTGAAAACATCTGCTACCTTTCCCCTTCCTTTTGCCGTATAAAACTCCTGTCCCGGAAGCTGCTTGTAGTCGGCTTTGACGTAGGTTTCATCGTCCATTACCACGCAGTCAAACTTGGTCAGCATCGTCGTGTACAGCCTCCGGGATCGCGCTTTGGCCGTCGTATTTTGTTTATCATCGCGATTTGGAGTCACTACCTTCTTGTAAGTCGATAGTCCGCCCCTTTTTTTGGCTCGATGCACGGTTGTAGACGATACACCCAGCTTATTTGCGGCATCTCGGAGAGAGAGGTTAGGGTTTCGCTTGAAACTACCGGCAACTCTCTTTGTCGTCTCAGCGGCTTCCGGTTTTCGATTTCCCCCCGATCCAGACTTCCTGTCTGTCGACAAACGTTCCCCAAACACTTTAATTACATTTGTAACGGTTGATTTGGCAACTTTTAGCGATTTTGCCAACTTTGCGTGCGAGTAGCTCGGATTTTCGCGATGCGCGAGCAAAATTTTGATACGCTGCTCTTCTTGCTTGGACGGCATTTTGACAACTGAAGAGTGAATTCCAAAATCAAAATAGGAGCAACATTCTACACACACACACCTTCAAAATGAGAGGTGTTCAGGTTTTTTAAATGCAAAATTGAAAGAAATACGTCAAGTTGATATTGACCAAATTTTGACCGTATCACCCTTTATACCAATGTGTAGGTACTGCATGATATTTTTATGTTGCAAATATAAAGACAGCCAAATGGGTGAAAATTGTCCAATATTACATGATCACTCATCAGAAGTTTGTCATTAAAATTATTTTGAAATTTTGTGGAAGTATGGAACAATTTTTTTCCAAAAGCCTTGAAAATTTATTAGAATTTGATTGGTAAACAAAAGAGATACAACGGTTCTAGTGATGGTACAATTTAGCTAGTTCAAGTATTCTGACTCGTACCTACTGTATTCATTATGTTACAAAGTACACGTATTATAAAAAAAAATATTTAAAAAAATGAAAAGTTCAAACCAGTGTTGCTCAATGGTTTGAATTGCATAGACACAAGAGTTTCATCAATTCTTGAATTAAATTATTAGAATTCATTTTAAAATTAAAATTCAATTTAAATGCATCCAGCCACGTACAGCTCTGTCACGATAATTCATAAAGCAATAAGCATTCGCCAAAGTCGATCTTTCCGTGCAGAACACCATGATTCGCTTATTGATTTCTCTGAATCAAGTGGATATAGACACGGTCGGACAGCGGAAGTATACTGCACGTTCCGATCCGTTAGGTTTCGTTATTCATTTTCTTTATATTCACTGATCCTTGCTAGAGGCAGCACGGAGGGTGAATCATGTGTCATTCAACACTTAACTTGACCGGTGTACCACACAGAGATGGCTGCGGTGAGCAGTGGCGATACATTGGAGCTGATGAGGATAAAAGAATGAACGGGAAATATTTGGAGCGACGACGACGACGGTGACGACCGACGCTCCTCCAGCGCTGAGTGTTTGCCCCGTCCGTGTGCCATCTCATCCATCGTGGGTGGGTGTTATTGTCGTAGGCGAGCTGCAGCAGAGACAAAGAGAAACCTTGCTCACCTATCTGCAGTCAACCAACAAGCGCCATCTTCGCCTTTCCCATTGCCGAGCTCCACCGACATCGCTCTAATTGACCTTCATTTTTACTGTGAAGAAATTTATAGTGTCGGGCGTTCCATTGTCCGGGATGGCTCCGTGATGGGCAAGGGGACACAATATGCAAGTGGATCGATAGCTGTGCAGAAGGAAAGGGAGGGCTGGAAATGTAATAAAGCGCTAACCGCATACCATGTACCGCAGTGACCGTAACCAGCAACAGCCCCATAAACCAGACCCAGGTCCAGGACTGAATGTATTCCATGTATGTGTGTGAGTGTGAGTGTGTGGTTTGTCAAACTACAACCAGCATCATCATCAACTAGCAAAGTGACATGGTGTCAGAGAAGATAACATTTTATCAAATTGATTGTAGAATCTTGTTGGAATTTTAGGTACCATTATCGTTAGCCTTTTGACACTGGGCTTGGGTTCGATTCGGATGGAATAGTTTAGCTTTTGAGAGTGAATTACATGGATTGGTGGCAATATAATGTATTTGTGGGACTGAATTATATAATTGAGACTTAAATGTTCCATTTTGCTAATGCAATTTGCCCGTAATGCTGATATGTGAAGCCAGTTTTCTGTTACAGCAGCAATGGATTGCATCATTCGAGCAGTTTGAAAATAAATTTCTTAGGGGAAATGGATGTAATTTCGGCCTAAATGCCCCTAATTTGGGCCCATACATAGCTTCAACAATCGACTAAATTTATAATAGTGACCAAAAATATTCATTAGTACCGTCAAAATGACGCGTTCATCTAGGTAAAATTGATAAATAGCAGATTTTTAGCGATGGGCATAATCTTAGATCCGCACAGTTCGAAAAAGTAGTGTAAATTTCTGTTTAATATGATGCACATAAATAAGTTTAGATTGTATATCATGTAAAGTTCTGAGAAATTTCATGTAATGTAGCAAATATTGTATACAAAAGCCCATTGTTGTAAACAACATTGTTTACAAGGTGCTCGGTTGCGTGAAATAAAATACAAGTTTACGTGAATGGACGTTTACATCACTGTTAAAATTCAGACTGTGCATAGACCAACATTAGAGCCATTTCCCCTACCACTTGAATTTCGCCGTGAAATAATGTTTAGAAAAAAAAGTGTACTATTTATGCTTAATTTGAACAATCAGGAATTGTTTTTTTATTTTTTAAAATCACTGGTAAAAGGTCTTCCTAAAACTGCTCGTCAATATGAATAATTTCTCTACAAGTTCACCCAGCAGGGACATTTAAGATTCTATTACAGATTAACATGTAAAGTATGTTGAATTCTCAATGTTTTGCTTCATGACCAGATTCTGTAATGTGGTCGCCGGAAGGTTTTTATTATAATTTTGAAATTTTTATATGAGCTTATTTTTCGAACAATGCTTGTTTTCCCAAATATATTGCGTCTAGAAATTCATCTCGTGAAGGTTTTATACAAAAACATGCATTTTTGAAAAAATGGCTTGTACGCGCTCTATTGCAAGCAGAGATGTCAGATTTTTTTAGAGAGGTCTTCGAAAAATGGCAGTGAATTTCAGAAATGTCTGTAAAAGTCATGTTCGAGCAAAACAAACCTGCTTTTATCGAATTGAACCTCATTTGAGTTGGGAATGTATCGATTTACTCCGTATACGTTAAAATAAATTAATAAAAAGATAAATTACGATTGCACGACAAATGAGGTTGACTCAAAGTTGAGATTAGTTCAGTCATATTCTTCAAAACTTAGTTAACTCACTTAGTTAACAGACTGAATAAAACTTCCCAAGCTTTTACAGGAATTTGTTTTCTAATATAAGCAACATCTCGAAGTACATATCAAATTTGTATACTTCTTAAATGAGTTAATTTTTCGTCAATTTTTGTCATTTTCGAAAAGATTTATGAGGCTCGGAAAATTTTACTCAGTCTTCAAGTAAACTACGTTTTCTAGAGTTTGATTAATTTAAACTTAAATTTGAGACAATCTTATTTAAGTGAGTGATGCAAACTCCACCACCAAAATATGGAGCAATCGACAATCAAAAGAGCAATTTATAAGCTTATTAATACGATTCTAAGCACTTCGTGCTCAAAAAGTGTTGATGAATCAGGATCAGGGTTAAGATAGGAATATATAAATAAATATCATAGAGAAATGGAGAGTACTGCACAACGAATCCAAGTACGACGAATTGGCGCTAAACACTAACACTGTTGTAACGATTTTACAAATACAGTTGATAATAAGATATATCAATCAACATATACATTACATTTCGCAAAATATTTACACACCTGATAGAGAAAAACTTGGCTAAATATAATACAATTTGTTGATACCAACTTTTTTTACCTTTCTCGTACACCAAAAAGTACCGAAAGGCTATGATATCACTTGAAAAACACAATTTCGTCCCAAGACCCGGAGAGACGAATGGTTTATAGCAATAGACTCATCTCAACGGGATCCTTTGAAAAAGTTTGTTATGGGGTTTCCTTTTTTTTCCACCATTTTACGACTCTTATACAGGTACAACGTGGCGAAAATGGCTGCTTCTTTCAGCACTAAAACAGCATCCGTGTTCGAATAAAAAGATGGAATAGGATGGAAACACACTGTCCGTTGCATTCAAGCGGGACGAAAGTTATCGGCTTTACATTTCATTTGACGGATTTCTATAAAATTTGCTTCAAAATTTCCATTATTGAATATAAATTCGAGTCGTTATGAATAATAACAAGCACCTGCCGATATAATCGGATTTCATACACTATTCATCGACAATTTTGGATGTGGTAGAATTCTCGAGCATTATGCTGATGTTGTTTTAAGTGTGTTTTGTGATGTGATCTGTCACTTTCATGGGCACCTGCTTTTGTGATTATTACATGTTCAAACTCTTGAATCAACGATATTTGCCCGGAGATTTGACAACAGAATTGATGGCCAAACGTGACCAAAGCCAAGACCAAACGATAGGTGCCATCATGCTGACCTTCACCGGATGCCTTAGATTGGGGAAGTCTGTTGAGGTAGTGATGGAAATCAGTAATGACCTTGGAAATATCCGAGAATTCCATTCGTGACATATGCGTTTCCGCACTTCCTATAATGTGTGTAATGCGCTATAACTATCCCCTCAAAGTTTCAAGTGCACAGCTACCATAAAACATATAACAATGAAACTGGAACTTCACATTTGATGCAGCAAACCAGGAGCTCCAATTTTTTGAGTGATGTCACAACTGTGTCTGAAGTTTGTGCTCTAAAACACTTGAAGCGATGGGGCATCTCAGCCATCATCAGGAAATTTGTGGACTCTTCAAGGAATCAACATAATCTATTTTGAACAGATTTATCAACCAACTATACTAAAGGATCAGCAAAATTGTAATGACCTTATCTACGCAAACCAATCCCACGATCGAATAGGAGAGTCCTAGCCGAAGGTGTTGTTAATTTGGCAAGGCGAGCTTCGATTTGCGAGAAAAGAGCATTACAAGATTTGATTACAAAAGCTGATCCGCAGAGTTGATATATCACGACGTTCTTTTCCTATAAACAAACGGCTGTCATCGTTACCTGTCATGATACTTATAGAGATGTCAATGGATGGCAATCGATGTCCGTCGGTGATTGGCACTAGATTGCAGAACAGAGACCGACGTTAAATAAAGGAAAAGAAGAAGATGATGTGACCCTACAAATCCATAAATCAAACTTTAGAGTAATTTTTGGCAAAATTTGAATAAATTTGGGACTTCCACTTTTTCAGAGACAGTGACTACCCAAGTAACATTGCAGGTTTTATCGCGGTTTTAAAGCATTCTAAAAGTCTAAATCATGGTCTACAGAACCCTCATAAAACCAAAATTGTTACTTGGGTATAGACAGTCAAGTTATAGAACTTTCAAACGTGGAAAATGTTCGTTTTGGATACAACATGGCAGCACATTGACAGGTCTACAACTATGACCGTCTATAACAGTGACAGTTCGTTCACGTGGTGGATTTGAAAACGCGCGAAATTATAATGCGTGTGGCAAAATGCATCGCACGTGTAATTAATTAATGTAAGGTGATACTCTAAGGAAACCTTAGCGTGAAACTGCAAAGGCACAAATGTCAGCTTCAACAAAACATACAAATTTGAAATTGCTACTCTCTGTTTGTAGTAGCACAGCAAACAAGGAGTAGCAATTTCAAATTTGTATGTTTTGTGGAAGCTGACATTTGTGCCTTTAAAGCTTCACGTTAAGGCTTCCTTAGAGTATCACCTTAGATGTAAAACATTGTAACCAAATAGTTTTGAAATTTTCCCTTGATTATAAAAGTCAGTAAATATCTGTGAAAAAAACTTAAAAGTCTGTAAATGTCTGTAACGAAAAAAAATGTCCGTGAAAAAAATAAAAGTCTGTAAATCTGGCATCTCTGATTGCAAGCGCTGCCATTACATTTGTTGCGTGAAACATATGCAGAGGATGTAATAGATTCATCTTTACATTGGAGGTAAGAGAAATTAGTATTGCGTGTATTCTTCTCAGTCTTCTGCTGCCAGAATCATGCCAACTGCCAGAAACGCTGGAGCATCTCATCGATCGTGTAGAACTGATAGCTTCGTGGATCTTGGTTGGTCATGGTTTTCCAGCGTACATTCTCCTGGTACGACCCAACCGAATGCTGTGTACTTGGAGCAGAAGAAGATCGATGCCGAAAAATATTCGAAAACGGAAAAAAGTGTGTGGTGCCTACACTGAGGCAAAAGAACGTAAACATTTTATAAGAACTACTTATGAATTTTAGCCACAAGTAATCCGTACGAATTTCATTAATTTGACTTATGAAAAATACTGTTGACAAAACAAATTGTAAAACGGACCAGACTGGAACCGAACCATGGACGTTGAGATTGCGTGTGTTGACCACTAATTTTTCAGTGCTTGGGAAAATGAAATGGTTAAAGTCATATAAGAACTACCTCATTTTAGACGAAAATCATTCATAAGCCACGCTTATGAAATTCGTATGTGTCTTCC